CACTTACCTCAGCCTCCCCAAAGGCGCGGGATTACAGGCTGAGCCACCGAGCCCGGCTTTTATGTGCTTTATATAGATGACTTCATCTCATTCTCGTAACAAACCCTCTATGAAAAAATCTTATCATTATCTTTATTTTCTATATGAGAAATTAAGGCATGGAGAAGTTGTGTAGTTTGTCTAAGTTTACCCTAGTGATAAAGCAATAGAACCAAGTTTTAAGCTCAGGACTGTCTGTTTACACAGAGACATGCTGTTAGGTAGGATGGTCAAGATAGGTCTCTTTGGGAAGATGAAATTTAAGACCTGAATAAAAAGACATTTAATTACACAAAGAGTTCAGGTTTCTAACCACAAGCAGTCAAGTTCCTACTTTACTGCTTTTTTTTTTTTTTTTTGAGTTGGAGTCTCACTCTGTCGCTCAAACTGGAGTGCAGTGGCCGCTCCCGGCCACCGCAGCCTGGACCTGCTGGGCTCCGGCGATCCTTCCGCCTCAGCCTTCCGAGTAGCCGGAATTACAGGCGCACGCTGCCACGCCTGGCTGGTTTTTGATTTATTGTAGAGATGAAGTCTCGCCAAGTTACCCAGGTGGGTCTCGAACCCGCGGGTTCAGTCTATCCACTCACCTCAGCCTCCCAAGGCGCGGGATTACAGGCTGAGCCACCGAGCCCGGCCTTTACTGCTTTTAAGGAGATAATTTTGCTGTCACAGGAAGTTGTTCCATGATCCAAGACTTCATTACAGGTGAATTTGCTGGCTTCTTAGGGTAATGGGAGCATGAGGCAGCACTGGACCCTTTAGATAAAACAGGTATACACTTGGATTCCTGCAGTCCAGAGAACAGTACATGCGAAAACTAGAGAAGATCCACTGGACTTCATGTAGGACCAGGAGATAGATGGGAATTGCTCCTTTATAAGGTCAGGATTCAGAAAAACCTATACACTCAGGGAAGGAACTAGAAAAATAATTTCAAAAGCAGTTAACAAGGAATGTTGTTTATCTTGGTCTTGGCTTTAAGTGGAGGATTAAAACAAATCCCCCAAATATTCATAATCATTGGGGTTTGGGACAGACACTGTATGGCTAAGAAGATACACACTGAAAATTTTATATAGTAAAATGATATTAGTTCTCTAGCACCCCAATTGCTTGCAGAGGCAAATATAAGTATCTCCTGGAAAAGGAGATACTTAAAGGATTTAAAGACATCCCAAAGATGAATTGACAATATCAAATTACATACCATTCAAGGAAATAAGCCAGCCTGAGTGAGAGTCAGCAGACTACCAACAAGAAAACCAAATGCAAAAGCACATCAAATTCTGTTATCAGATTAAAGATTCCAAATAGTTGTTTAATATATTTTTTAAAATAAAGTAATTTAAAAATACAAGAGAAGCAAGATGTGTTCACAAATGACCACTTACATTTGTAAAAGACCCAAGTGGATTTCCCCAAAATAAAAATTAGTATAATTTAGGTGAGCAAAGTCAATTGAAAGGTTAAATTGGAGGCTTATAGGAGCTGAGATGTGAATTACTAACTGAACAGTTGTTTTAAAAAAAAGAATCCATAATGCAGCATAGAGAAGAAAAAGAAGAAAAATATGACTAAATAGTAAAGAAACTAGATGACAGTGTGCAAAAAAAAATAAAGCTATGCTTTAGGCCATATTTTCTTCAATAAAGTATGGACCACCAAGTTTACAGATTGAAATTTAGGCCCTTTCACTACTACCTTTCAGACTTATACTTGCATTAGACTGTAATAACCATTCCAGGATAATGTGCAGACTCATCCAGAAAACAGGCCTGCTTTTCAACTGGAAATATGGAATTTCCATGAAACCTTGAATGTGGACTGCGACTAAGGTGGGAAAAGTTGGAGTAGGTACCATGGGACTCTAAGATGTGCTCTTGAAATTGAATGATACCTTCTTTTAGGTGTACTTGAAGACTTATTGCCATACGGAAACTCTGTTCTTTGTGCTTGAGTCTGGTCTTGATTATACATTTTCCATTTAACAAGGAAATGTTCCATGCATGTCCAGCTTTATGGTTTTGCAGATAAGATAACACCCTGTTCTGAATGCGATGATGAGGTACTCAGTAAAAAGCCAGGATCATCTTTTCTTTCTTTTTTTTTAAAATTAAATCAATATTTTTTATTTTAAAATTGTGGGGTACAGTTAAGGGTTAGTATACAAATATGCGTCGTGCAGGCACCCTTGTTGATAAGGGGTGTCTCCCCATCCCCAGACAGATATTGACTACCGCTAATCCCACCTCCCTTCCCCTCCCCCCCCCATAGTTTCCCATCACTGTCAATCCTTTTCTTATTTACGATAGATGTTCAAGGTCCACTATATGAGTGAGAACATGTGATACTCAGATCTTTGTTTCTGTGAGAGATCACACAGGATCAGCTTTTCAAAGGAGGAACAGTTGTTGGCAAGTAGAAGAGAGTATGGCTTTAAACCAAAACTCTGCATCTGCCTGCAGGACAGTTCTCCAGGTGGCCTTGAACTGACCCGGTTCTCCTCATTCCTCCCCACTCCCACAGCTTCTCACTTGTAATTCTCAAGAATAATTGTGCTGGGAATGCAACCTCCTGAGATAAGGAGGAATTGGCCAGAACAGCTTGGGCTCTGTTCCAGTTTCTCCTGGGAACAGAATTTCCTTCTTTGGCCCAGCATGTCATATTGCCCTGGGGTATACAACCCAGTGTGACTGCTCTCCAGAGTCACTCAGTAGCAGAGCAAGTGGAATAGGCACAAACAAGACTCTGTCCACCTTGGGTGGCTTTTCTGAGCTTTGGGTGACTGGATCTCCCTGAAGCCTAAGTCTGTGTTGCCCCTTGGTCCCTTGAAAGTAATAAACCCTCTTTGTGTAACGTGTGTGTGTGTGTGTGTGTGTGTGTGTGTGTGTGTGTGTATTCTGTCCCACTAAAACATGACAAGTAGTACTAGTACATCCCAAGATGCAGTAACTGAAGTGGCAACAAATGAACTTGCTTCACACAACTTTGTGATTATCTTGTTGGGGAGTGTCAGGAGCTCCATCAAACATCTCTGTCTGCCACAGACTCTTTATAAGAAAAATCGGAGCTGCTTGGTCTATGGCCCAAGCAGCAGGAAGCTTTAATTTTTTTTTTTTTTTTTTAATTAGAGTCTCACTCTGTCACCCAGGCTGGAGTGCTTTGCAATTTCAGTTTACTAACAACAAATCAGTATGTCATCAATATAATGGACCAACATAGTTTCAAGATGACAAAGGGCCTTCCAAAATACTTCATGGTAGAAACAGGCTAAACAGAGCCTTGAGATAAAACAGTTAAAGACTCCTGCTGACCTGCCACTTGAAGGCAAATTGTATCTGATTATCTTTTTTTTTCTGAGTAGGAGTCTCACTCCATCGCCCAGGCTGGAGTGCAGTGGCACGCTCCCGGCCACCCCAGCATCAACCTGCTGGACTCCGGCGATCCTTCCGCCTTAGCCTTTCAAGTAGCCAGAACTACAGGCGCGTGCTACCACACCAAGCTAATTTTTTATTTATTGTAGAGATGATGTCTCACTAAGTTGCTTGGGCTGGTCTTGAACCCGTGGGCTCAGGCCGTCCACTTGCCTCAGCTTCCCAAAGTGCAGGGATTACAGGCTGAACCACCAAGCCCAGCCTGATTGTCTTTACTGAAGATTTTTGAGCACGTTTCTGGAAGAGATGTTACTCTCAGCTTTTCAGAAGACACTCTTCCTGTCTGGGAGTACAACCTTCCAGCTAATGCTACAGAGTCTCTCCCCATCCCCAATCTACCCATCCATACCCATGCCCACCCACAAACACACACGCAGCTGTCTCAGCTGTGGTTTCCTCCCTTGGTCCCACCTTGGCAGGGTCCTCAGGTTCATCTTGGGGGAGCTGAGGAGGAAGGATATGAGGTTCTTGCTCAGACCTTTGATCTGTGCCCCGCACTGTGTCTCCAGCGCTGCAGAAGTATAAGCTGCTATCTTCAGGGCTCACATTGCTCACAGTCAGAGTTGAGAAGGTTAGGTTTGGGCGGCTGATGGGAAACTTGTGCTCAGTAAATCCACTCTCATATGTGGCCTTAACACCCTGATTTGCAGTTGCAATCAGAATCAAGCTCTCTCCTGGGAGCTGACGATACCAGAACATTGTGGCGAGTTGGCTATCGGCCTGACACTGGATCATCATGGATGTTCCACGTTGACAGATATCTCTGCTTGGCTTTTGAAAGAGGAGGGCACCAAGCACAGAGCCTAGACCTAGAGAGATAAAAAGACCTATGAGGGTTGACAAGCTTAAGGTCAGACACATCCCCAGACAAGAAGGTTTCTGCTTTATTTACTGAAGTAGCACTTCAGCTCCCAACCCCACAGTACTACTCCTTTTTGCTTTGCCAACTATTAATATTATTGTCAAGTCCCTCTAATGCAATATCCCCTGCCTCATCTTCTGACTGGTGGCTTCAGACTTTTCAGAAAGAAAGTCTCCCCACCTTTCTACTCAGAATTAACATTAACCCCAGACTCCCACAGGACAAGGGTCATACCTTATCCTAGGAGGAGTAGGAGAGTCAGCATCTTTAAGTGATGACCTCGTTCCTCAGAAAATACACTAAGAAGTCAAACTCAAGTTCATCTTTCCTCCTTACAGTATAGTTTCCCTACCTGTTCTGTTCCTGTCATCTAGCAGGAAACTAAGTTTCTGCAGAACTTGAAAAAAGTAGTGTGCCCCCTCATGGAACTGTGTGTCTGTTCACTTAGAATGGGTCTTCATTCATAGGCATCCAGCATGCACCTGTCACTCACCCACCATTAACCCGCCACTTTCCCATTTATCCTTAAAGATCACCACATATGTGCTATTCTTTGAATATACAAGAATGGAATGCAGTATTGACTTCAAAGAACTAAAGGTACTATTTTAGAACATGGGGGAACCTCATGAGAATTTCAGCTCTCTGCTGGGTTTTCATGGTTGTCCCAAACTGAATTATTCCTCTCCCAACACACATATATCAATAAACTAGCTCTTATTCATCAATTCCCCTTCCCCAACAAATGATATCTCCACTCTTCTTGCCCTTTAGGGAACTCAATAAGCCTCTCTTCTCCTCACCTATCTCATTTATCAATTCACAAATTAAATGCATTATATGTATGTATTACCACTCATGTCTCTTCCCTCATTTCAGTTAACACAGTCATAACTATTTTGTTACTCTTTACTTAATCCTTGGACATTTGAAATAAGGTTTCTTCTCTTCTACTTCCACTCAATATAAGCTATGAAACAGTCACCCTATGTGTAAAATTTGACCACAATGCTATGATTCTTCCCATTATCCAACTGATTTCTTATATTAACTACCTAAAATAGTTTTTTGTTTGCATAAAAGAAGAGATAATTTTGGGGTGCTTTCTGTGCTTTGCACACATTTTTTCAGCTTATTTATGGATTAGGCTATTTAGACTACTATTTTTACAGGCTAGAAAATTTTACAGATAAACTTAAAGACCTACCCAAGTTCACATAATCCAAAAATAAGCAGTAGAGTCAGAACTCAGATCAATGCTTATGTGACCCCAAAGCTCAAGCATGAACATCAATACTATCAAGCATTGCCTCACTCTCACAGTTGTCTTTGCCTTAGTAGAGTGGAATCTGGTGGGTGACCAAGAATCATAGGCCTAACACTCTAAAGGAAACTAGGGACCTCTAGAAAGACAATCTTGTAAAACTAACCCATCTTATTTATTTGGTTCTGAGATCCCATCTCTTATAAGATGCGCCTTTAAATACATAACTGTTACTTTTAGGGGGTGGCTCAACAAAGCCTGATAATTAGTATAACTGGTAAAAGGCATAGAATACTTCACTTTTTCCTGACATGTAGGTATATTTTTAAAACTTTTAGTCAAATATATCAAATTTTCTGCCAAAATAATCCAAAATCTCTTTTTCATTTTATTCATGCTAAATCCTTCTGAAAATTACTGAATGGTCCCTATTCTCCACAAAATTCCAGATCTTTGCCTATCACTGTTCTCTTTCTTCAAAGCAACAGCAAAGATATTTCCATTGCTTTTCATGGTTTTCAAACTGCAGTTGTCTCTAGATTTTTCTTTCAGGGAGTGTCATGGATACTAAACTGTTTTACTGTTTTTATTTATTGAATTAATATGTGCCCATGATTAAAGACTGAAAAAATAGGTAGTAGAGAGCCTGAAGTAAGTTACCCTCTCCAGAGGTAAACAGTCTTTATAAATTATTTGTATATTTCCTTAGAAATAGTTCTGACTTGTTCCAGTTTACATGGATCTGACTCCTCTTTCTTTTACACAGGACAAAGCCCAAGCCTTTCTATATCTTGCTGCTTCTTTTCTTAGCAATGTGTTCTTATCAGTGTATTTCACAGTTTGTTTCATATCAGCACCCCCAAATGTGCCTCTTTATTATTTTCTGTTTTATTTTGAACATTTTCAAACATCTATACAATTTGAAAATACTACACAGTGAACGTGCATGTACAGATTATAGATGAATATAGGATAAGTTACTGTTTTATTACATAACTATCCATCTATCCGTATCTCCTTATTTATCTATCAATCCATCAATTATTTTTAAAAAATTATTTAAAAGTAAGGTGAAGACATTTCACTTCTAAGCACCTCAGGATGCATATAATTAACAAGAATTCAAGGTTTCTTTATGTTTTTAAGGTAAAATGCACAACTCTTGAGTATCATTAAATGAGTTTTGACAAATGCATACACCTGGGTAATCTACAATTACCTTATGTCCTTGCTTAGTGGATTTCTATCTTTAGCCCCTTAGTGGAAACCAAGGTTCTAGTTTTTCACTGTAAATTAGATTTTTTCCTACAATTTCAAATAGACAAAATATCACATCATACACTCTTCTGTGTGAGATCTCTTTCACTCAGAGTAGTGTTTTTATATTTATCCATATTGTGTGTGTTAGCACTTCATTCATTTTTGTTGCAGTGGAATATGCCACCCTATGGATATACCACTGTTTGTTTAGTCATTTCCCTGCAAATGGACATGTAGGATCTCTCCAGGGTTTGGTGATTATGAATAAGCTTTCTAGGTTAAGTCTCTCTCTGCCTCGTTTTCTTTTCTTTCTTTTTTTTTTTTTTTTTTTGAGTTGGAGTCTCACTCTGTCATCTAAGCTGGAGTGCAGTGGCACGCTCATGGCTACTGCAGCCTCAACCTGCTGGGCTCAGGCGATCCTTCCGCCTCAGACTTCCAGTAGCTGGGACTACAGGTGTGTGCCACCATGCCTAGCTAATTTTTTTATTTATTGTAGAGACGAGGTCTGGTCAAGTCACCCAGCCTGATCTTGAACTCCTGAGCTCAAGCAATCCTTCCTAATCAGCTTCTCAAAGTGCTGGGATTATAGGTGTGAGCCACCATGCCTGGCTTCTAGGTTAAGTCTTTCTTGTAGTTTTATGCTTTCACTTCACTGGAGAAAATACTTAGAGGTTATACATCTAAGCTCGATCATAGGGGTAAGCGTATGTTTAGTTTTATAAGAAACTACCAGAACTTTTTCCAAATTGGCTGTACTATTTTCCACTTTCACCAATAGTAATGAGAGTTCTGGGGCTCCAAATTCTTGCCATTTGGTGTTGCCAAGTTGTCTAATTCGAGTAGAAATGTGGATGTTTAGTGGAATCTCACTGTGGTTGTAATGTGTATTTTCTATTTGTCTATCTTTATGATAGTACCATACTGTCTTTATTACTGTAGCTTTACAGTAAGTCTTGAAATTAGGTAGCCCAAATACTCCAACTGTGTTCTTTTGAAATATCATTTTGGATATTCTAGAGTGTCAAAAACTTAGTTGAACTGCAACAGGGTGATTTAATTGTAAAGCAACAAGCCAAAAATGTACGTTAAGCGTTTAATTGCCTCCATAGTAAAAGCAAGAGTCTAAAGCCAGAAAAAGCACTGACTTTGTCCTGTTTTGCTTTTCACTTTGGAAACAACGCTGGCCAAGGATAAGGTGGATCAGTACCCACATGGGGTCACCTCACTGTTGAGGGGGCCTTCAAGGGGAAAGGACTAGTGGAAATACACTGGATACTTAGAGTGGAGAAAAGTGTCTTTCAGGCTGTCTCCTCCTCCCCCACTAGGAGGCCTTGGCAGAGGCACCGGAAGAAGAGCTCTGCAAAGGCCAAGGATGAAGGACAAGACTCTTGAGCTAGGAATATAAATATGCGTAACCTGACCAGTGTGACCAGCCAGGGGGACCTAGATTGCAGTTTCCTTCAAAGACTGTAATGCCTGGCTATGCACCAAGTCTGCAGTGGGGAGAACAGCCTCCCCTCCCTTCAGGCCTGTTAGGTAATGCCTAGCATTCGTCATCTATGACTGAAAGATCACACAGAGGCTTCTAAACAGGAGTCTTTGTGTTTCCATATACCTTCTAAAATCAGCCTTACAGTTTCTTAAACAAAAAGTTGGGATAATAACTGAGATTTTATTTAATCCATAGGTCAAATTTGGGTCATTTAGCATAGTTAGCTTATTTAATCTACAAATAAAATTAACCCGTTTTATTTCTAAATGTTGTAAATAATTCTAATCCATAAACACGATTTATATATTCACCCTTTAAAGCTGTCTTTCATTTCTCTTAGCAATGATTTTTAGTTCTCTGTATGCAGGTTCTTGCATGCCTTTTGCTAAATTCAAAGATTTCCTCATTGTTGTTAATTATCCAATTGTTTGCCTTTAGTATATGAAATACAATTAATTTTTGCATGTTGATATAACATATGGCAATAATACATTAACTTATTAATTTTAATAGTGATTTTATAAATTTTTTAAGAAACTTAATGTAAGCAGTCTTTTCATCTCTTAAAAAGTTTTTCCTCATCATTTGTTCTTTAGCTTTTTAGTCTTTTTCTTAATACACCAGTACAGTGTGGCATAGAAGTGGTAAGAATGAACATTGACTTGTTTATGATCTTGAACATGTTTAATATTCAAAAACTAAAAATGGAAAAATGTTTAATATTTCTGTCATTAAGTTCGATGTTAGTTGTTGGTTTCTTGCAGATGCCTTTTATTCAATTTTTTAAAGTTACATAGACATTTACTTCTTTTAAACAAATGACTGAATTATTTTTTAATTTATATTTTTCCTGATGTTTCATACAGTTAGATTTTTTAATAGACCACTGAGAATCTGTTTTTTCATAATTTTTCCTCATGTTTTATAGGTTTTATTATTTCTATTGACATAACTTTTAAGTGTCCTGAATCTTTCTTCTGTCATATCTAATCTGTTAGAAAGCCCATGCAGTGAGATTTTAATTCCCAAATATTGTAGTTAAAATTTGTATTTATTTCTTATAATTTCCATTATTGTTCTAAAGACTTTTACTTGTTAATTCATTATAAGAATATTTTCTTCTATGTCCTTAAACATGGTTATAGTAGGTACTTTAAATTCCTGTCTATTAATTCCAGCATCAAGGTAAATTTGTAATTTGTATCCACTTATGGATTCTTCTTTTGAATATAGACTATGTTATTCTTTT